GGGTAGTTGAATAAGTGTTTGTGCCTGTGGTCTTGAAGTCTAATTGAATTGGCTCGACCTACTTAAGTTGGAATGCTGTCCTGTACTAGCTCAACCCTGGAGAGCTCCAACTTAAGTGCCTCAATTTCCATGTATAATCGGGAGATAATAAGCAAAATTCGAAAAAAGTTAGTTTGAAAGCCTCTTACATAGTGTTGTCAAAGGCTCATTTAAGGTGCATTTAAGCCTGAAGCTCAGAGAGGGCGCTTCGTGTTAAGCTGCTCTTCAATGTAGGCAAGGCACTAAGGCATGAGCCTCTTTTCCAATGATTTCTATCTTGAATTGAGTGGTATTAAACAACAAATTTAATCAATAAAGAAGTGTATTAATTGTTAAGAAAAATATTATGAATAATTTTGTTACTTTTTCTTGAATTAAATATTATTTTTTATCTTTATCCTTCATTACACCTTTTTTTACTAAAGCTCACACTTTACAGCTTGCTTGGATGGTTGTTACATGTTGTATTGTATCGTATTGTTATTTTAAATACAATGTTTGTTTTGATTGTTACTTAAATTTTATTGTATCGTATCGTTAAATCCGTCGATACGTAACGACGAAAAGTGCCACTTTATGGAACGACCGATTAATGTAGTCGTGTCGTTGCCTTATTTTTTTTTTTCATCTTGCCCTTATTATTAAATAATCCTTCTTTTACCCTACCGTTTTATATAATAATTCTACATCGTACCTTACTTTTTCTTTATAATATTGCAAGTTTATTCTTCATATTGTTGGTGCATGACATCATAAAACAATGGCAAACAATACAATCTATCCAAACATTGTATACATCAAAACGTTACAGTACAATACAATACTATATGATACATTATGAAATGATACATAACAACCCTCCAAACAAGTAGTTAATTGCACTTTGCGCTTGAAGTCTCAATAGACCTGGAGCGCTTTTTAGAGCTTTTCGCCTTTGACGACACTGCTCTTATTTCTATTTGGTGTTGGTTTACAATATTTTTGATGAAGGTGTTGGTTTACAATTCTACACAACCAAAACTGAAATGAAAAATTGAACCGAATTTTTCAAGAAACTAAATTATATGGACTGAGGCTCAGCCCCTTACCAGTGGTACATAACTGTCTAACTATCATATTCTTAATGAAGGATATTTTTAATGTCTGAACATTGTTTGGATTCAGTACATTGCAATTTTGTTAATGCAGCTGTGAAAGTGATGGGACAAATAAGTATTATGCCTTCACTCCAAGAAAAAACAGTTTTGCCCTCTAGTTGAATTCTTCTTTATTACCTGGTCAGACCTTTTCTTGGCGGACTTTAAGATGCATTGCCCGGTAATATGAGCCAATATTTTAAAAGAAATTGAAGGTTTACCTGGGAATTGGTTCAGTGTTGTCAAAGGTTCATTTAAGGCGCGCTTAAGCCCTGAAGCTCAGAAAAGCTCAGGGAGCACGCTTCGCCTCGCTTAAGCTGCGCTTCAGTGTAAGCAAAGCATTAAGGCGTGTGCCTTATTGCCCATAAGTTCTATCTTGACTAGAGCAGTACTAACAACAATAATAATTGAAAAATAATTGTAGCAGTTGTTAAGTCAAACATTATGAGTGAATTTGTTACTCTTTCTTCTTGAATTACATATATATTTATTTTTTCCATCATTGTGCCTTATTTTACTAAAGCCCACATTTTAATTGCACTTTGCGCTTAAAGCCCCAATAGACCTAGAGCGCTTTTTAGAGCTTTTCGCTTTTGACAACACTGAATTGGTTTTATGTTCCATTTATGAGAAAGAATGATCTAATTCCGCAGTTTTGACATCATATGTCATTTGTTAATGTCCTTTTGTTCATGGAGTAGATGAAGCTTGAACTTGGCATGTATACCTAGAGAAGTTACTTCTATAATATTTTGGGCATGAATCATGATTTTGGTAGAAACATTTTTCCTGATAGTTATTACTGTTAGGTAGAGTCATTTATCTTTGATCTATCACTTGCACATGTTATTTCTTTTATGTAGATTTGTGATTCTATTTGCTTCCCCACGTCACATTGGATTGCTTAACTGTTTCAATGCAGGTTGAAGCTGTGGCTTTTTATTGCATATGTCGTATCCTTTGTGTCTTTGGCAGCATCAGTTGGGCTATTGATACAAGACGCACTCGGAAAATCTGGTCCTTCAGCTTGGACAGGAGTTGCAGGTGTTCTGCAATGTGTGTTTGTTTTAATCAGGTAACTTTGTTGAATATATACATTAGATTTTAGAACTTCAGATTGCATGGAGAAAATGGCGATTGCCTAGCACCTCAAAGGTTATTTTGTATGCACTATTTTGTTAGTTGTTCACCCACTCCTCCACCTGTCCCCTCCGACTTGCGCACACTCTCTCTTAATGATACATTTCTTTTCTGCCATAATGATACAGAAATAGAAACAAATGGGTTTGGACCTGTGTCTTACCAAGAATATCAGAATAAAGTAGACTGTCTAGTTTTTCTTCTCTTACCCTTTCAACTTCCATTTCTTACCCCATATAAGACTAGCAAATGATGTATCTCCGCCATGTACATGAAAAGAATACATCACATCTATGTTATGTTCAGTTGTGTCATGTAGCTCTGTTTGCTAGCGCATCTTCAAAGACACCACAAGAAAAAACAGATGCTGCTGCTATTCCTTTTAAGCTAGCTGTGGTTTGGGTGCCAATCTTTAATTTCTTCTTTGTTTTCACATATTGCAGTGGGCTGATCTATTGGACATCACATTCAGAATCTTGAAGATATACCATGGGAGAGGAACATAAGTCATTTGATGGAATCATCCCATACTCAATCCATCCCCTCGAGTAAGAGATACAATTGATGCTTGTATAAATGTGTGTTGGTTGTACAGTGATGCTAAGCACCAAGTGTTAAACGCTCGTATCTTCTTTCTACATATTGTTATAATGACTAATTTGAAATTTCAGTGGAAAGCTTCAGGAAGTATATGTCTTTGTGGTTACTGAACTGATGATGAAATGTTTTGTTTCGAAAGACACTTTTGATTATAGCTTTTACGTTAAGCCCTACCATGCAACTGTTGTCCAACTTGGAATAGCAACAAAGAATTATTCTTGTGATATTAACAAAAAAGTTACTAGTTGAAATCAAGACATTGATATACTACTTTGCAGTTACATGTGTGTCTGATCATTTGAAAAACCCCTAACTGTAAATCTAAAAGAAAACAAATTTGATAAAGACATAAGAAATGTGATCATTTCAGTTTTGTGCCTAAGCTAAAAATAACCTAAAAATTACAAGGATCTTCATCATCCCATTTGTCTAAACAAAAGCTTGGGCACACTAAATTTGTTGAATCTTTTGCTCTCAAATACATTCTTGTTCCTTTTTACTTTTAAATTTAACGAAAGCATTTTAAGTTACCAACAAACATTATGTAGTTAGCTTGGAAGCTTGTGAACCAGACTCCGATCTGAGTTAATACTACTTCAAATATGAATAATAAACGAATATCGTTTATTATTCAATATCAATTTCTAATGTCAGTCCAGAGACCAAAGTTAGTTGTAAGAGGACGCAAATTGATCAAAGACAGAAAAAAAAAAAAGTTACATAAGGTGTTTTTTGGGCAAGTCCTGGGGAGGCGTATAAAAAAGAGAAATTTTCATAAAGCACTATCTTTTAGTGCTAATTAGCTATCTATAGATATCATTTGCTATATTACGGATGTAGATACGTTTTCTGTTGTTATAAGATGTATTTGATATATTTAAGCTACTGTATTCATGAATACGGTAGCATTTCTAGGCGTGAAACAGGGGTTACAGCTAGATAGATTTTTGTATTCGAGTGTATTCGACTGTATTCATTGCGTGAAACATGGGATTACAGCTGGAAAGATTATTGTATTCGACTGTATTCGACATTTCGACTGTATTCACGGCGTGAAACAGGGGATTACACTGTTTTTAAACGAAAAGTGAATCAATTAACATAATCGACTCCTAATATAACTCAACAAACCCAATTACAACACACAAATTTTGTATTTCCAGTTATAAAAGAAGATTCTCAACCGAAAAATACCCCAAAAACATAGCAATCTTCAGAGAAATTATATAATACATCTGAATACATAAATTATATTAATTAAAAAAAAACATATGAATACATTCATGGCATATAGTGAGACAGTGAATACAATGAAATATATAGAATACATCGGGATACATTGAAATACAATGAAAAAAAAGATAGTGAATACAATGAAATTCATGGATTACAGCGAGATACATTGAATTGCACTGAAAAAATAGACAATGAATACAATGAAATACATGTAAATACAGCGTGATACATTGAAAATACATTAAAATACATTAACAAAAAATCAAGTTGCTCAGCCCCAAATTGAATAAAAATTCCATAATAATAAGGTAACACAAAAGAGGGGTCCAAAGAATGTCAAAATGGGTAAGGACTATTTTTCATCCTTCTCACAAAGCGGCAGCACTTTAACACATTGTTGTGCTACCATTCCGTTACAACTCCAAGAATCACACTCAAACTCTTTAAATTTCTGCTCCACTACTAGATTCTTGGAATCCCATCTTAATAAATCTTCCAAAATTCTATGAGTGGCCTTATCAATAGCAATGAGCTTACCTGCTGCTAAGGCAATAGACAATAGTGATTTCTTCGCGAACAACATAGGCGGCAGATTCGGAAACGAGATCCAAACAAAGGCTCATGAGATTCAACCTTAACCCTTCTGATGTTAACTTGATGGAAAGGGATGCGCATCCATGGCAGCCTATACTACACCATGTCGCCCTAGAAAGAGAAGCGAGAGGAGAGAGCGTGGGGTTTTTGACTAATAGTAGGTGATGTGGGTGAGAGGAATTTTGAGATTCAGCATCGTATTTTCAGGGACTTGGGGAAGAGAATGACATGTATCAAAGTAGAGAGAGAAAGAAAATAGTGTAACTAAATAGCGTATTTAGTGGCTTAGGAGTAGGAGGTAACCAAAATTAGATATTTTGCTATAAACATTAAAAGGTATCTATAGAATATAATTTTTTAAAATGGTATTTATTTAAAATAAATAAGGTGTTAACCTTTGCTATAGGAGATAAATATTCCTATCAAAAACGCACTGACAGAGCATAAGTATTGTAGGGCGTAAGCCCTAGCATTTCGGGTGTTCGCTTAGGTGTAAGCCCCAACATCTTGGGCGTTCATTTGGGGCATAAGCTCTAAATTCTTTTTTAAATTTGAGCCCAAATTGCTTAGGGTCTGTTTGGAAAGTCACCAGATAATTGAAATTGGTGTAATTACTAGGGTAGTAATTACACAACCTAATAATTACACAACATTCAAATTACGACGACCTATTTGTTTGTCATAATGTAATTACAATGTAATTTCAAATGTACTGTTTGGTTGCATAAGAGTAATTACACAGTAAGATAACATTTTAAATACAAAACTAATTATCAAAAATTAAAAGTTAAGATTTAGTGATCACGCCCAACTATGTCTTATAAAAAGGACAATGCGGACGTTGCAAATATAACTTGAGTATTCCGCCCAGGGTCGAATCCACAGAGAATTAACCTATCAATCACAATCTTTAGAACTACTAACTCTTGAGAACCAGCTTCCCCAGACGTTTGAATCACCGTTGATGGTTTCTTTACTAACTAAGATTGCAAGTAAATAACAAGTTGTAAACTAAAATGCTAAGGTTGTAAACAATAATGAGAAAATGCTAAGGTAATGACTTCCCCTATTGATGTAATCCCTTATGTTTATGCTTCATACAAATTGACCAACACGCCTCTATCAATCATGAACGCTCATCTTACCACAATTCTCTCCCGAGTAATCACAGTAATATACTCAATGCACTCTCCAGAGATACACTAGCTAGCTTTAATTAACACAGTTCACTTCAGATTGCACTCAAGGCTACGTTATCTCTAATTCCGCCTTTAAACCCGCAGTTATAGATCCCTCTTATAGTTTGGGAGTAGTGTTGTTCAACAATAACCTAAATATGCACTCTCTCCCGAGTTATGCATACTAAATAGGCACAGCTAATTGAGGATCCTGTCAATTAACTACAACAAGAACATAGTTGAACAAATAAAGATTGAAACTAGCAATTTGTATTCACATAAACAAGAAGTTCATCCCCCAATAGNTGCTATCTGACAGTCCCATGTAAAACCATTGTCCCAACATCTGATCTGGAATACCATGGTGTGGACATATAACCAACATTCCTTTAAACCGACTCCATGTCTCATGCAGTGTCTCCATTGGTTTCTGTTTAAAGCTCACGAGCTCATCAATTTGTTGAGCTATTTTGTTGGGCGGGTAGAACTTGATGTGAAATTGCTTGACTAGCTCGTCCCAAGTTTCTATAGAGTTTATGGGGAGTGAGTTTAGCCAGACCTGAGCAGCTCCTGTCACCGAGAATGGAAATAATAACAGTCTGATTGCTTCCGGAGTTACGTTGGGTTGCCTTTGAGTTTTGCAAATCGATAGGAAGTTCTTCAAGTGCTGTTGAGGATCTTCGGCTAGTGTCCTAGAAAATAATCCATTGTTTTGCAGCAAGTGCAGCATGTTGTTCGTGATCTGGAACGATTCAGCTTGTATCGCGGGCACAACAATGGCAGTGGCCAGATTGTCAGCTGTGGGTTGTGCCCAGTCATATAGTACAGCCTCAGGCACAGGAAGTGCCTTATCTCTGACGTTTCCATTGACGTTGTCTACGTCACCCATGTCAATTTCGAGGTTGTGTGTTTGATGAGGTTGTTGAAGTCTTTTGTTGGCACGGTTCAATATTCGAAATGTTTTCTCTGGGTCTGAGAGTCCTTCAAGTACTTCTCCAGTCCTCGTAGAGTTTCTAGGCATGCACCTGTGCAACCACGTCAACAAACGTCAAAAATTTTCAATCAAATCTTGGTGTAGAGAAGACTGACTATACTAAGAATTTGTTGTATTTCTATCAATGGTAATTGATAATTCCGTTAATTCCCTGGCAACGGCGCCAAAATTTGATCACGCCCAACTATGCCTTATAAAAAGGACAATGCGGACGTTGCAAATATAACTTGAGTATTCCGCCCAGGGTCGAATCCATAGAGAATTAACCTATCAATCACAATCTTTAGAACTACTAAACTCTTGAGAACCAACTTCCCCAGACGTTTGAATCACCGTTGATGGTTTCTTTACTAACTAAGATTGCAAGTAAATAACAAGTTGTAAACTAAAATGCTAAGGTTGTAAACAATAATGAGAAAATGCTAAGGTAATGACTTCCCCTATTGATGTAATCCCTTATGTTTATGCTTCATACAAATTGACCAACACGCCTCTATCAATCATGAACGCTCATCTTACCACAATTCTCTCCCGAGTAATCACAGTAATATACTCAATGCACTCTCCAGAGATACACTAGCTAGCTTTAATTAACACAGTTCACTTCAGATTGCACTCAAGGCTACGTTATCTCTAATTCCGCCTTTAAACCCGCAGTTATAGATCCCTCTTATAGTTTGGGAGTAGTGTTGTTCAACAATAACCTAAATATGCACTCTCTCCCGAGTTATGCATACTAAATAGGCACAGCTAATTGAGGATCCTGTCAATTAACTACAACAAGAACATAGTTGAACAAATAAAGATTGAAACGAGCAATTTGTATTCACATAAACAAGAAGTTCATCCCCCAATAGGTTCCATCAAAACCTTAGACAAAGGATTTAGCTACTCATAACTATGGGTAAACAAACTAAGATAAGATTCATCATAAACTAGCAATAAAAATCAAAGAAAAGAAGAAAGATATTTTGGGTGATCTCTCACAATTGTTTTTCTTGCCAAGATACTCTCAAATTCAATACATGCCTCTCTTGGGCGGAGTTTAGTGTTTAAAATAGGGTTTTGGGCTAAAAATCCCGTGTTTTGCACTTTAGTCCCTGAACTTCCTCGCGCCTGCCGCGATTCTGCCACGGTCGCAGTGGAACCGCGGCCAAACAACTCCTCTGGA